GCAGGTGCTGAAAAAAAAATGACTACCTTTTCCGATCGATTACAGCTTCTACTTGAGCAACAACAGCAGTGCTTCAAAAATAGCCAGTTAAATTTTTTAGAAAATTTACGCACACTGTTGGTAAATGTTCCATGTTTCGGAGGTGCAACAGAAGTTGGTAAATTCATTTCTCATCTGCAGACTGAGCTGGAAAACAACTGCAGAACATATGAAGCTGTTTATAAAAGCCTCTGTGAATCCCGGACGACCAGTGATGTAAACGAGACAGTTATTCATGGTCCGCCCAGTTGTCCAGAAATGTCAAATTCCGAAACGTTCCCTGTCGTGGGTTCAAATCCCACTGTTCCTGAAACGTGTACAGACAGTGATGTACCCAGCTCACAGGAGGATCTCTTATTAAATGCTCATAAATTAATTGCAGTACCCGCCCACAACGGAACAGGGAACAAATCGTGCGGTACACTGAATCCAGCTGTTTCAAATGGTCCTCATCATTCAACAACAGGAGATTCTGACGAATCTTATTATCTAGATCTTTTTGTACCAGAAAATGTGTTAAATGCATTAAATGATGATCAGAAATCTAATACAATTTTGATAGATGTTGATTATCGCAGTGATCAACTGTTTACAAATGAGATTTTCAACAAATCCCGTGACAATGTTCCAGAAGAATCAAACGTTGGTGACCTCATATCAAGCGACATTGTTCCCCACTATTTAATCACTTTCAGTGACTCCCCTGTTCAATCTGACAATTATGTGTTAAATAAAGTCAAATTAATTCTAACTTGGGAATATGAGGACCCAACATTATTTCGTGGGGGAGGATGAACCCAGAAAATTTCAAAATCCGGATATCAACTCCGGATCTTCAAAAAAAAGGGGAGGTGTTGTGGATGCGCAGGAATAGACCAATAATTATCATGTTAAGTCCAATAGTGTCCTTGGACTTTAAATGGGTATTTTCTATTTGTCGATATCTGTTCACTTGTTGTATATTGTACAAAATGTTGTTTTCTATTTTATGGTACGATGTGGTGTGCTTGATTGGTATATAAACAAAGTATGTTTGAAATATAATGATTCATATCTCCGAGGCTGTGACTTGTGTTCTGGACTCAACTGACTGGGCTAGACAGGGAAGTGGGACCAATCGAGACTCTAGGTCGTTCGTACGTGTTTACGTGTCATCGAATACGATCGATAAGTACGCTGCTCTCTAATTCTCCGGTCAAGGACACAACAATTAGCACAGGGTAAAAATCTACCGCAACTTAAATTCATAACAACTATAATATCCATAAAAACACTTCTGATATAATAAACCTTGTGTTATGTACACTAACCACAATTTTTCTAAAGAAAATGGACTTTTAGAGCTAGATTTAGTCTTATTTCATTCGTGACGTAATCGTAGTTGAACGCATTTGATCAGACTTGTAAACTTCCATCTTATTACGGTGTGCGGTACTATATATCCTTATAAAGGCTCGAGACTATACATTTCATTCATAAACAATTATCTATCGCTTCATATTCGAGATTCCATAACCCTGTTACTGAGAATTCGCACTAATCCGTGTTCATAGCTTATAGGGCAAAAGCCATAAAATAATAAATATTATCTACTCCACGTTTCTTTGTGAAGAATTTACACACCCATGTTCCTCCGTAAATTTAGTATTACAATGGACTTCATTTAAAGTTCCGAGTATCTTATTTACATGATTTACGTCGTTGCACAAAACAAAGCACACCTTACACAAAGTGCTATTTCATTGATAGTGAGCTGTTATTTATGAAGAATAACGTTACTTTTTTATTTAAACTTGTACAATTAATTTTACTGAGTAACTGGTTTTATTATGTCATACAAAACTTGTGAGCTAAATAAGCTTTAGTAATTATGGGCTTTTTTATATCACTGACCGCCTTATTTGTACATCTTTGTTTTTACGTATTCCTTAGATGTTTGGTTTTGCAATTCCAATACATGTCTGCAATATGACACGTATATTCATTCATACATCGAAACTGAAAATAGTATGATAATATACATACAATTTAACTTCTATGTTCAAAATATCCACCAATACGAAAATGAATTAAACTTCATCCCCTTGAGCAAGCTAGCGGCTTTATTTTATTTATTTATTTATTCGAACACAAAATTTGGCACAAGGGGGCACCAGATACATATGCGCCACACAAATCTCATTAGATTTGTGTGAGGGCTGTGATACTGCCCGGATGCCCAAACTGAAGCAGGTAAGGTAGTGGCTATCTGAACTTAGTAGCTAAATGGGTAACGCGATAGGGTTTGAAGGGAACGGTAATGGGTTCGAGTCCCGAATTAGACATCAACTCTAGGGTGCAGGAACATCCAGCTGAAAAGTCCCAAATACGACGGAACGAGCGTCTTAAATTCCGCTGCTAGCCACCATCCATCTTTGCTTATAATGACTAGTATCATGTTTATTGACATGATGCAAATTCCCACATATAGATTTGTGCCCTTGGCTTTGAATCAAACCCTGCGTGATGACTATGGAAATACTCAGGTCGCCAAATTGAAATAGATGGGGTAGGACACAAATCTACGATATAGTGGTTGAATGTCTACAAGATATATCATAACGTTGCTTATATAAGTTAAGAAAATCCGATGCATGTGATTATTTAACCGAGAAAAAGTTACCTTTAAAGTATTTAGTTCTTTTGACAGTTCTTCAGCTTCTAAGCGTAAAGTTTCTTTTAGAGAATTCTTCTCCCTTAAAGCACTAACCGTGGATTCCAGTTGAACTTTAGCTTCTGAAAGTGCATTTTCAGCTTCCTGTTCTTCTTTTTTAAATTCAGCTACGGCGTTTGCTGCTTTCTCATGAGCTAACTTAGCTTTTAAAGATGCTTGAGTAAGACGCTGTTCAGCGTTTTGTAAAGAATCTTCGACTTGTTCTACACAAAACGAATAGATTTATGTAAGTCAAAAAGTGCACATCTATTAAATTAATTCTCCTAGAAATAAACGCTACCTAATGGATTTCAACAATGGAATAGAGAAAATTCATAAAAACGAACATGATTCCAGTGATAGTATCTTTCAAAACAAAGAAGGAGGGAATCACGATGAACGCCATCCAGTATGATGCACCCACTAATGATAGCAACAACGACAATAAGGATAAGTTCTATGAGAGGTTGCAATCAATCATAGCGGAGTGCCCAAGAAAGGATCTCACAATCGTGATGGGAGACCTAAACGCCATAGTCGGAATGGACAACACGGGATATGAAGATATCGTAGGACGACATGAACTAGGAGAAAGGAGCGAGAATGGTGAGAGATTTGCAAACCTATGTGCATTCAACAAATTATTTATAGGTGGCACAATATTACCACACAAACGCATACACAAAGTTACGTGGATCTCACCGGATCACACTACGGAGAACCAGATAGATCATACTTGTATCAATGAAGACATCAGAAGGACAATGGAAGACGTGAGAACCAGGAGAGTAGCTGACTTAGGTGAACTGGATAGAGGATTCAGTAGATACTTATCTTTGAGATCATTTGACCGGATTCCGTAAGGATCGGTCGTGCACAGACCGATTCGCGACACTACGGATCATCGTTGAACAATCAGTTGAATGAAACTCGTCACTATATAGCAACTTCGTTGACTATGAGAATATTATGGAAACTTCTTCGACACTGTGGTGTACCTGAAACGATAGTCAACATCACCCGGAATTCATTGCAACGTGGTGCATGGAGGACAGCTAACAGATGCATTCCAAGTGAGGACCTGGAGTCAGACAAAGCTGCTTACTCTCCCCCTATCTCTTTCATCTGGTGATTGACCGGATTATGAAAAACTCGGCTGTACGGAGCTGAAACGCGGAGAACTACAACAACCATCATCAAAAGGTACAAGTATTTATAAACAGTTGCCTACTCAAGATACTCAACATCCATTGGCCGGATACCATCAGCAACAGCCTACTGTGGTAGAGAACAAACCAGCTCCCAACTCAAGGGGATATTCGCAGATTACTGTTATCCTGTCCTTGGTGTCTACGATGCATTGCTCGTGTATTTTGGGACCACTGATTTTGAATAGGGTATTCGGCAAAGATGTGAAGTCGACTGATAAGGTATTAGATCTCTATTAACTGAGGTGGTTGGGACATGTGTTACGTATGCCCAACCACCGCCTACTTCGACGGGTGATTTTTCCAGGTACTGGAAGAAAGCTAAAGGCGTCCAAACCAAGACATGGCATCAGTGGCAATTGGACAAAGCCATAGTAATGGGCACAAACTGCCCTGTTGGGACTCGGTTGATTATCGTAACCAGTGGTTAGAGACTTTAAATGGCATAGTTCTAAATCGTTTGCAATGGAACAGGCACATCCACTCTGCGTTCCTCCGAATTCTTAGATTCTGAATTCCTCATAACTTTTTTTGTTATTATTTCTCTAATTTTTTTTTCGAGTCCTGTCTTCGATGCCTAATTTTTTTAATTAGCACTTATACTGTTATTACCTCTACTATTCTGGGATTTGGCCTTACAACATGACTTCGTCTCCCTCTGCTAATGGGGTGATGTTACTTGAACCAATGTACATACGTACAGGTTCTACGTTTTGACTGACTGATTTCGGAAAGCCGAATACATTAAGACGCATTGGTAACTGAATTGTTTTAGGAGTTCAATTATTTTTAAGGACAATTTCGAAGCACCGTCTTTCTTCAGTGGTGGAATTATCTATTAGCGTCAAAGGGGCTTGAGTCATTCGACAAAGAAAACGTCGAAATTCTACCCCAGTATGACTGTCAAATCCAGTATCAAGTGAAGTATTTTTTTTTATGTGACCTCATCTGATGCCAGTTTTCAGCTGACTACAAATATATAACTTTTATCTAACAAGTTACACAACCAACTATATAGCTAATATGTAGATCCAATTATTTGTGTTTTTCTTTGCATATAGCCTATCAAACATTCGGTGAAATAATCGAACCATGGAAACCACTACGCTGATTGTTTTTTTCGGCCGTCATAAATTTTAATATCTCATGTACTTAGTTTGAAATTGTGAATAGATTCATTGTTCGAAATATTCTACACATTTCATTTTCCTTTGTTGTTGTCTCGATGGGATAAAGACGTGACTTTAATGATTTCATTTTCCGGAACGTCCTACGGCGAGCCTGGTTTGGGTTTCAATAAACCTTCCTCGACTTGGTATGCGGTATTCTCTGGCAATACAGAGCACGCATAGGTAAATTTGGCCATCTGGCTGGCAATTTTTTGAGCTAGTAAGAAGTTTTCTATGTATCCAAAACCATGGCGCTTCGTCTCTAGCTCTAGATGCAGCTATATCTAAATAAGATGCACTCACGGTACCCGATTTAGTTAATTTGGGATATGAATATACACATTTCAGAAATCAGTATTAGGTGAGTTATATATATTTACGTGGAATATCACACTAGATAGATCACATGATTGCTAAATCGGTTGTTCGCGCTGTATAAACTTCTTATTTACGAATAATACTTAGGCAAGCAGTACAACGGATATGATGAACTATATATGAACGGCTACACTGTGAAATATGGTGAAGTTTATTACGGTAGCACACAAACTGCAAACATATATCATAAGGCGGGTGAAGTGAGTTAACACTTGGGGGAAACAATCTTGCTACCCACAAACAAACCGAAATAAGCAGTTATTAAAATTCGGAAGGTGTGCAACAGAATTACTTCGCATTTGTAAATGTCCTCCTTTTCACTTAAGAGATCTGAAAACAATGAATACAATAGGACGTAGAATTATGCTTGCTGATCAAGTAACATACCTGTACCTCAAGTCTCGCAGCTGAATCAGACTTATTTTCCAAAAAGGAAAACTAATACACCGGAGATAACAGACACAAAAGTTCAAAATCAAAAATGAGTCGAAGATGCTGACGGGTGCGAATAAATAGAGAACATTTGGCCTAACTCTCTGTGGGATAGATGGAAAATTTATTAAAAATCTGGGTTAAATTATGAACCACAGTGGCGTGTCCTTTCTATTCGATTGTCTTGTTTAGTGCTACTTTTCATAACTGGTCATCCCTGATTGTTGTGTCGGGAACCCTTATCACATATACTCGAAACGAGGGACCTCTGCAATTCTCACGACGCGAAAGTAAGAACACAAACACTGGTATAAGTGATGATTTATTAACCCCAAAAAACGACGACCCTAGTCGGAAATACACTCGTTTATATATTGATTTATACACATTTTTGATTATTAATTATGATGAAATCACAAATGAAAAATACTTAGTTATAACAAATCATATACTGAGTATAGTTCATGTTAATTTAATACAAGAACGTCGTATATTACACACAATAAATTATCATACGAGAAAAGAAAACAAGTACAGAGTGATCACAATGAATCAAAAGGCAGTAAGGTTGAACAAAACTCATAATTAGCCAATTAATCGAATTTTGAGTTTCCGTTCCATCAATTCGATCTAGTTTGTGCAAATATATAAACAGACAAAGCCTAAAATTAAACAACCCAGAAAAACCATACTGCAAGATACCAACCATCAGTACACTACAAATAAAAAAATATAAGCATCCTCAAAAACGCTGAAGAATTCACTCGAAAACAGGATAAATTCCGAACAAAAACCAACGTCAACACGATAACAAACTAAAACCAAGTTCTCAGCAATAAAATTCAGCTAAAATAAATTACTCAACTCACAAACTTCAACTGTCACACTTGCATCAATCAACACTAATACCAAAACATAAACAATCCAACTACTCAATTATCACAAACACACAAAGTCACCATCAACACACACACACACACACTCACTCACTCACTCTCACTCAAAACACCTATTCAGTCACACACCCATCTAAACGAAATGTCGTCATACCTATCTCTAACTAAACACATCACCCTGTCTCAATCACATTACGCTCGACTGATCAGTCAGTCATTCAGTCACTTAGCCTCATTCAATTCAATACAACATCTGGCACCTATGTCCTTCACTCCAAACTCCAAATCGTCATCACCACAGCTGCTTCAAATTAACAACATCAACAACAAAACAGTCACATTCCACTGACAACCCAACAAATTCCACACACACACGCATAGGTATCTGGTGCCCCCTTGTGCCAAATTTTGTGTTCGAATAAATAAATAAAATAAAGCCGCTAGCTTGCGCAAGGGATGAAGTTTAATTCATTTTCGTATTGGTGGATATTTTGAACATAGAAGTTAAATTGTATGTATATTATCATACTATTTTCAGTTTCGATGTATGAATGAATATACGTGTCATATTGCAGACATGTATTGGAATTGCAAAACCAAACATCTAAGGAATACGTAAAAACAAAGATGTACAAATAAGGCGGTCAGTGATATAAAAAAGCCCATAATTACTAAAGCTTATTTAGCTCACAAGTTTTGTATGACATAATAAAACCAGTTACTCAGTAAAATTAATTGTACAAGTTTAAATAAAAAAGTAACGTTATTCTTCATAAATAACAGCTCACTATCAATGAAATAGCACTTTGTGTAAGGTGTGCTTTGTTTTGTGCAACGACGTAAATCATGTAAATAAGATACTCGGAACTTTAAATGAAGTCCATTGTAATACTAAATTTACGGAGGAACATGGGTGTGTAAATTCTTCACAAAGAAACGTGGAGTAGATAATATTTATTATTTTATGGCTTTTGCCCTATAAGCTATGAACACGGATTAGTGCGAATTCTCAGTAACAGGGTTATGGAATCTCGAATATGAAGCGATAGATAATTGTTTATGAATGAAATGTATAGTCTCGAGCCTTTATAAGGATATATAGTACCGCACACCGTAATAAGATGGAAGTTTACAAGTCTGATCAAATGCGTTCAACTACGATTACGTCACGAATGAAATAAGACTAAATCTAGCTCTAAAAGTCCATTTTCTTTAGAAAAATTGTGGTTAGTGTACATAACACAAGGTTTATTATATCAGAAGTGTTTCTATGGATATTATAGTAATTTCAATGGTTGAGATCATGAGTCGATTGAGGCTAGACCACCATGAAAACCTGTGTCTTCATGGACTGATAACACGACTTAGTTTGGCCGTCCCTATCATTTTTCTGACCTACTCTTAAACCAACCATTATCGCGCGTCGACGTAGACACTAATTAGATACACGTGATTCAAGTCCTATTCATCTTAGTTGATAAAAACTCACTATATTATCAATCGATACACCATCGTCACTATTACTCTGCATCTAACCTCAGAATTTGTAGCTCATTTGTTTTGTAGCATGGCGTCGATTTGAGATTAACTATGAACACCGCTACAAAGAAACACGTGCCAAATAGATCAGAAGGCGAGGGTTGAACGTAACCAGATAAATCCATAAAATCCCCGAGAAGCCAAATACCAGAAGACAATTAATGGACCAAGTCGAGGTGTATATTTGCTGGCGATCTCGTGGCATCGAAAGGATACCGAGATCGTGCCAGGATACAACCTTGGTTACAGAAGGTAACCGAATTCGCGCGAAGTTACAATCGAAGTGAGTGTAAAAGAATGGAAGCAAAATATAGCTGTCATTAGCACAGTCAAACAAAAGCACATTAAAACAAACACTGGTACAGTTGGTTATAATAATAATTGTTTTTATTAAACCAGTCGTGTTCTCGTGATAAATGTGAGTCACTACAGGAGCCCCCCGCTAGAAAGGGTTTACACTTTCGATAAATAGCGGTTTGAATCGTGGGACTGATCGGCTGACGAGCGATTGTAGGACGGAAGAATTGGCGAACAGGAAAGCGATCGTTGATCGTCGAGTTGCCAACGAAGGTCGTTTTCGGAGAACGGTACCAGGAGCGATGTGCTGTATTTGTTGCTTGAGTTGGCATGCTACACGAGAGTGGTTTGTATCCAGAATCTGAAGATGGCGTTCGTAGGGGTCCGGACCAGAAACGCTGCAGACGTAGGACGAAACCACGTTGAGCCGATGAACCAGAAGCGACCATAACGACCAAGTTCGAGACCAAGCGTATGCCAAGCATTCGAAACCAAAATATCGACTGAGTGCGTTGACAAGAGCGTGGGTGATCAGGCCAGCTTTCGCCAAAGTTGACTGAAGTCGACGGAACCAAACGGAGATGGTCGAAGGCGTGGGCTCAGGAAACAAAAAGAAAATCAAAAAAGAGAAGAGTGTAGCATGCGTGTAGTATAGGAATAATCCTACACCGTATCGGTTGTTAACTGTGCGGCTAGTCGCGGAAGCGTACGGGTAACCGTACTCGGCGACCGGAACGTGAGACGGTAGTCTCGTTCGTATCTCGTGAGCCTGCAATCTCATCCGAAGTCAGAGGCGGCGTGGTCTGCTGATCTGGACGTGAGACTGTCGTCTCGTCCGTAGACGGTGCAGATGACGCGTGCTGTTGACCGGGACGTGAGAATGAGGTCTCAGATGTATCTAGCGTGGGACCTGAAGAAGATTTAAGGATCCCGCTAGTAGGTTTGATAGGTCTAGCATTGAATCTCAGGTTATCAGATAGGGCACTGTCATCGACGTGTGCTGGTTTGAGACGATCAATGCTGACGATCTCGACGCGTCCATATCGATCAACCTTGAAGGTCTTTTCGTGACGAGCGATCACGTGAAAAGGGCCTTCGTAAGGTTGTTGCCAAGGTTTGCGTACCGAATCTACTCGTATGAAAACATGTGAACAGGTAGATAACTCTCGAGGGAGAGCGACCTGTCGATGTTGTATTCGAGTTGACACCGGAGACAGCGTTCGCATAAATGCAGACAGTCGATGGACGTAGTCTGATTTACCGAAATTAGGTCTGCTCCGTGGTGTGAAGAATTCTCCGGGCAGACGCAATGTCGTGCCGTATACAAGTTCAAGGGCGGAACATTGGATATCTGCCTTTAAGCTCGTTCTGATCCCTAAAAGAACGAGCGGTAAGGTTTCGTGCCAGTTGCCGTTTTCGTGTGCTCGTAGAGCACTTTTAAGTTGGCAGTGAAACCGTTTACTTAACCATTTGGTGCTGGGTG